CTAGCAGAGAACATGCCCGCAGTTGAGGAGGGCATGTTCTCTGCTAGTAAGAGATAAATATATTAGTATAAATATAAATAAATATTTTATTTATATTTATTTTATTTATTTATTTTATTTATTTATTTATTTATTATTTATTTATTTATTTATCTATTCCTTTCTCTCTTTATCTATTTATCTACTTATTTATTTATTTATTTATTATATTAATTAATTAATTAATTAATATAATAAATATATACATAAATACAGAAATAAAAACAGAAAAAAAAAACAAATAAAACATTTATATTTATTTATATTTAATTATATTTATTTATATTTATATAAATATATTTATCTCTTACTGGCAAACAACATGCCCGCAGTTGAGTAGTCTAGGTGGGTTTATATAAAGACAAATATAAACCCAAATACAACAAAAAAAACAGCAACAAATACAGAAATAAATACAAATAAAAATAAAAAAATAAAAATAAATATATATTTATATTTATATAAATATATTTATCTCTTACTGGCAAACAACATGCCCGCAGTTGAGTAGTCTAGGTGGGTTTATAAAAAGACAAATATAACAATAAATATAATATATATAAAAACAGAAACAAATACAGAAATAAATACAAATAAAAATAAAAATATAAAAATAAATATATATTTATATTTATTTATATTTATATAAATATATTTATCTCTTACTGGCAAACAACATGCCCGCAGTTGAGTAGTCTAGGTGGGTTTATAAAAAGACAAATATAACAATAAATATATACATAAATACAGAAATAAAAACAGAAAAAAAAAACAAATAAAAATAAAAAAATAAAAATAAATATATATTTATATTTATATAAATATATTTATCTCTTACTGGCAAACAACATGCCCGCAGTTGAGGAGTCTAGGAGGGTTTATAAAAAGACAAATATAACAATAAATATATACATAAATAGAGAAATAAAAACAGAAAAAAAAAACAAATAAAACATTTATATTTATTTATATTTATTTATATTTATATAAATATATTTATCTCTTACTGGCAAACAACATGCCCGCAGTTGAGTAGTCTAGGTGGGTTACTGAGTGTAGTTTCTTCTTTACTAACAACACAAATAATAAAATGATGAAACTGCATGCAAAGCCCCAAATCTATTTCTATAGGGAGACGAATCCCGGTGTATATACAGCTGCATTCTCCTCTCCCGCATATAAGACAACCTGCATACAATACATAATATATTTATCTTTTTTTTTTTTTTTTTTTTTTTTTTTTTTTTTTT